ATTTGTGGTTCAGGTTCAGGTTCAGTTCAGGTTCATTGAACCTAAATTTGAACTGAACTGAACCTAGGAACCCTAAGCAGTATGTTTGGTGGTAATGGAAGAAATCCTGACTGGACAAAAGGCCCCTGTTGATGAAAAACCAACAATAGAAGAACAATTAAATATGATCATTGATGATACAAATATTGAAGAAAAATATAAAGAAAGTGTAAAAGAATTATTTAAAAACAATAAGAACTTATTTGCAAATGGATTAGAAGAACTTGGACAAACAAACTTCGTAAAACACGTGATTAAGACTCAAGATGCCGAGCCCATTAAGCAACCACCATATCGTTTAGCCCCAAACGAGCAAGATTTTGTACGTGAAGAGTTAGAAAAACTAAAAGAAAAAGGCTTAATCAAGGAATCGTTCAGTCCATGGGTATTACTTATAGTATTGGTGCCAAAAAAAAATGGAAAATTAAGGATGTGTGTTGATTATAGGCATTTGAACAAAGTAACAAAAAAAGATGTATACCCCATCCCACACATCAATGATCTTTTGGAAGCTTTCGGTAGTGCTAAATGGTTTAGTAGCTTGGACCTTGCCAGTGGCTACTGGCAGGTCCAAATGGCTAAAAAAGACTGCAAAAAACGGCTTTCGTTACAAAATATAGAACTTTCGAATTTATAGTTATGCTCTTTGGTCTCTGTAATGCACCGGCGACATTTTAGAGACTGATGGATAAGATTCTTGGCTCTTGTATTGATAAATTCGTCACTGTATATCTCAACGATATTAATATTTACTCTCAAACCTTTTCAGAACACATTAATCACTTGAACCAAGTATTTCAATTAATAAGTAATGCAGGTCTTAAATTGAACTTAGAGAAGTGCTAATTTTTTTTACAAAACTTACATTTTTTGGGCTACATAGTTAGCAAAGATGGAATTCAACCTGACAAGGCTAAAGTAGAAAAGGTGCAAAATTTTCTGGTGCCCCACAACATATGACAATTACGTGGTTTTTTGGGTCTGTCATCTTATTACTGCAAATTTATCAAAAATTTTGCAACAATTGCAAAACCCCTGCATCAATTACTATAAAAAAAGAACAATACAATTGGACTAATGATTAATAGCAATCTTTTGATACTCTCAAACGACACTTAATTTTGGCCCCAATCTTACGTTATCCGGATTTCGAATGATGATTTTATCTACACACCGATGCCTCGGGAGTAGGCTTAGGTGCTGTTTTGGCCCAAGTTGATGATGATCAAAAAGAATACGTTGTCTCTTACGCATTAAGAAGTCTTACAAGGCCAGAACGTAACTATTCTATGACAGAACAAGGGTGTCTCGCCATTATCTGGGCAATCAAGCACTTCCACCACTATCTTGACTATAGGCTATTTACTGTTATAACTGACTATTCAGCATTGAAGTAGTTAGAAACTTCAAAGCTGAAAGGCCGCCGTGCTTGCTAAATCCTCCATTTGCAACCATACAATTACAATATTGAACACCGCCCCGGGCGAAAACACTCTAACACAGATGCTCTTACCCACATTTAAATAAGCAAGACAAAAAAAAAAAAAAAAAAAATCCAGACCCAATATAGCTCAGGTAACTGGTGTCCTGGCCCCGAAAGAAGAAATAATAATAATTGAAAAAAAAACCAACAAGAAAAGCAAAAGAAATTTTTTTAACAATGCATAACTTAGAATATTTTTTTTACTGGCACACATTCTTATTATCAAACACTTAGTCTTATTTTTTTTTTTAAAAAAAAAAATCACATTCTCACTCAAACATGTGGCTTATTCTTATACTCAATTTTTTTTTTACCCTACTGGACCTAATTGAATGTTTAAAGTTATCGAATTATCACCTTTAATTCTTTTTACTTACCCAAGTTTTATTAGATACTTCAGCAATATAACTTAAAAATAGCTTAAATTATTTTCGCTCAAAAAAAAAAAAAAAGAAATTTTTTTAATTAGATTTAACTTTTCTGAATTATTTTTGAAAAAATATAGACTCAGCTCATTACCATCAATTAAGATGATATGTACTTGAACAACATTTATTGCCAGGCTTGGATAAGCAAGAACAACGACATATAATCTCGAAATCGAAGTTCTTCAAGGTGAAAGGAAACGTACTATATAGAAAAGACCGACGAGAGAAAGACAACTGGTTAAAAGTAGTTCAAGCTTTCGAAGTCAAACCAATATTGTTTTTAGCACACAATCACCCGATTGGAGGACACATGAGTCAAACTGCAATGTTCAAAAAAATTAAAAGATATTATTTTTGGCCTCAAATATTCGAAGCAATTAAAGAATATGTATGTATATACAATTCATGCCAACGTCAAGGGAAAAACAAGCTCCAAGAACTGCTCTACACTATCCAAGTAGACTTACCATTCTACCGAATTGGTATCAACATCGTAGGGCCTTTGCCCATAATGCCCCAGAATAAAAGATATATAGTTGTGGCCACTGACTATATGTCGAAGTGGCCTGAAGCAAGAGCTCTAGAAAAAGATAATGCAATTGAAGTTGCGGAATTCATATATGAAGAAATAATTTGCAGGCATGGCTGCCCACAATACATAGTATCAGACCAAGATACACATTTCAGAAACGAATTAATTACAGCATTGTTAAAGAAATTTCAAATAGTACACAAACTGTCGACTCTCTACTATTCACAAAGTAACGGCCTTGTTGAATGCTACAATAAAACACTATGCGAATAATTGGCAAAGACAATACAAAATGTAATAGAATGGAACCAGTTCATCCAACCAATATTATTTTCATATTGCACAGTAAAACAAAGTTCAACAAGAATGACCCCATTCTTTCTAATATATGGAAGGGAGGCCTATTTGCCCCTGCACCCCAGTAATACCCCTGATATTTTAAATGGAACCATTATTCAAAGAACATTTAATTTGTTAAACAAAGTATCTGATCAATGAAATAAGGCAGTGAAACAAGTACGATCAACACAAGCAAAACAAAAAGAACAATACGATCGACATATTAACATTATACCTGCATTTCAAATAGGCAAAAAGGTTTTATTATTCAATGCGGCTCACCAGATGTCTTGTAGCCACAAACTAAACCCAAAATGGAAAGGTTCATTTTTCGTACATAATGTTTTAATTGATGATCCTTCAGTCAACTGAAGAATGATCATAGTAAAATGTGACTCAGATTACTATATAAATTTACTA